GGAAGTGAATTAACAGACGGTGGTGTTCTGAAACTCAGGGTGCTTTCCAGCATCAAAATCCAAACAAGCTTCAAAATCCAAGCCCTGAGAGAGTTCTACTGGGCAAAAGAAAAGAAGCCACATTGTTTAAGGGGGTCGTCCAGATCTTCCAGGATGGAAGAGAACACATGAATACATGCAGATATTATTCAAGGCAAACCAAGAATTAATGTTATAAATATGTTGCCAGGTAAAGATCATAATTGCTATTTCTGGCTAAGTATTCTAAGTATACCCTCAAGGTTTTCATGGTCGCAGTTTATCATGAATCGGGGATGGGGTGGCAACCCGCCACCGGTGTCGCCTGGTGGGCCCAACTGGGAAAATGGGGAACAGAGATATGTGTGTTGCTTTAGAACAAAAGAATTCATTTCATCACTTGCCTTTAACCGCCGGACAAAATGGCTTCTGGTGTGGGAGTGTGTGATAAATGTGCCCCTCCAGTTCTTTATTGCCTCTGTAAATCACAGGACTGACAGCAGTTAATAAGAAAAGCTTCTGAGTGGTTTTGAAGTTTGGCTTTGTACAAATAAAGTCTCATATTAAAGATTTTGCTAGTCTTCAAGGTGTACAAAAAGCAGCATGCGTAGCCTTTCCAAGCTTTTAACCTCAGGTCTCCTTTTTTCAGATTTTCATGGCAGGTGGGGGTGGGTGGGAAGAGACCCTACCAGATACACAGGTTGGAAAAATACAAACAAATCCAAGTTTAAATAGCTTCCTATGCCTAGGGTGTTGCTGGTACAACTGAAATGACAAACGTGTAGATTGCATAACCTGGATCTTCAGCTAAATACCAGAAAAGATACGTGGTAAGGAGGTTGTTACAATTGATTTATTAGTACATTTCTGGGCATAATTGTACATTTTACCTCATTTAGCCAAAGAAAACTTTGGTTCAGTGTCCAGATGGGCAACTCTAAATCCTGCTGAACAAATCAGCTGCCAGCCCAATCCCGAGTCCCAGGCCTGGAATTCTGAAAACATATTTCAGAGCATAATTGAGGCTAAAAGGACTAGAAAGAGTACCCACTCACTGAGCAGCCCTTTTCTCCATGGAGCTCAGGATACCTTCCCCCAACAACCGTATGAGCTCCTAAAGGGCAGGTTCTGTTCTTTGTGAGTGCCTAGGGACAAAGCTGAGACACAAAAGGCAAGCCATGTCTTTTCCCGATTATCGCCAAATCTTCCGTGAAGCCCCAAACAGGACTAGACTCATTGTTCTCGAAAGATCGCACTTAAAGTGCAGAAACATACAATTTTTGAATGTGTTTTCCACAGCAGAGGATTGAAGCATTTGGAATCCATCTACACGGCTGAGTAGCGGTCTGGACGGAAGAAACTGGCCAGCTTACAATCTGGGCTCTGTGTTGCTTTGGCCCAAACAACGAGAACAAATAAAAATCAGATCTTCACATTATCTACCGGGGCCGAGTCTGCTTCTTTGTAAGAAGCATGAAGTTACAGGGGCAAGACACTTGCTAGCTTTCCCAAGGGGTGTGGTGGGGGTATGCATGTTTGCACACATCCATGTACATGTATGCAGGTGCACGTGCACACACTGTGCACAGGCATGTAGAGGCCACATTTCAGAGCAGCACACCTCCAAAACTCCACTTTGACATTGGGATTTCATTAAATGACAGTTTACTGAAACAAATTATACCTAACGCTCCAGTTTGGCTTTGTTCCCTTTCTGTGGTTTGCCTTATCCCCCCCTAACTCTGGACAATGCTTTCCAAATCCCTTTTCCTTAACCCACCATCTAACGTGACCCTCTCTGTGGAGATGTCTGACCACAGTAGATTGTGTCTGGAGTCACCCAAGTCCTGGAGTACTTGAAGAACAAGTGCTCCAGTAACTCAGATCAGTGGCAGTTCCTGTCATTCGAAGTGACTGACTCCCTCAGGCCAGACCTGCACATGTGGGATGCACTCCTTGTAGCTCTAGGCTTTCCTTTAAAATGAAGATCCCCTCTCTAGCTAGATTATCACCAAGAATGTCCTTGACTCTCTGCTGGAGTCCGTTAATGAAAATGTGCCAGGGTCTCAGACAGTAAAGGATGTTTAAGAAGGAAGTCTGGTCTACCTAAGTATCACACAGGTGCAGGCAGGTGAAATGTCCAAGACAACACCCCGTCAACAGACAGCACACCCGACATTCAAGAACCTGAGAAAGGTAAGTGGGGTGACACACAAATGTAATCCCAGAATTTGAAAGGCCTAGAGGCGGGAGGATCAAAGGTTCACAGGCCAGCCTGAGCTACATAGTGAACATCAGGCCAGCCTGAGCTAAATAGTGAGAACCTGTCTCCGGAAAAAAAAATGTAAATTTAAAAAAAAAAAAAAAAAAAAAAAAAAAAAACTTTTCAGGGGGAAGGGCCCAAGGGCCCAGATGATGTGACAGACTTTGATGATCCCCCATGGAAGGACTAGTCCTCCCTGGGGAGTGGGATGGGAGTCAGTGGGGGGCATGGGAGGATAGGAGGGAGAGGGAACTGGGACTGATATGTAAAATAAGATTGTTTCTAAAGTAAATTTTAAAAGAAGAAAGAAAAAAACTGTTAGCAAAAACAAACCATGATAAGACAGAATGGGCACTGGGATCCATGGTTATGCACTATGTTTAGAACAATAAAACCCAAATTCAAAAAGGACCAAAGTGGGTTGGAAGACTGGCTCAGCAGTTAAGATCAGGTACTGCTCTTGCAGAGAACCAAGTTCAGTTCTCAGCACCCACATCAGGTGCCTCTCAGGTGCCTGTAACTCCAGCTCCAGGGGACCTAACACCTTCATCCGGCCTCCAAGAGCACTGCACTTAGTATGCATGCAGGTATTTGCACACACACACACACACACACACACACTTATGTATGCACACACACTACACACACACACACACACACACACACACACACACACACACACTTGCATGCATGCACACGCACAATTTAAAATGAAATAAATCTTTCAAATCAACTCTGGCATTGTGGAAAACAGCATAAATTCAAGCTTGTTACTCTCTCCCTTTGAGACATTGCAAATGTAACATATCAGAGTTCCTTAAGTCCATCAGTGCATGAGAAGGCTCATGAAGCACTTGCAGAGTACCCTATAGACAGTGCCCAATACATCACCCTTTGGCTTGTCCAAACATGTACCAGGAAGAGTGATCTACATATATTATTTCGTTTAATCCTCACAACAGTTATGTAAGTGGTTCTGATATAAAAAGAAACATGGCCAGAAGGCATTCAAAAGAGACCTCTCTCTAAAAGGGTCAGGATAGAGAGAAATAGACCATGAAATGCAGCCAGAGAAACAGCATGTGACCCACAGCCCCTGTTCCCTGTGGAGAGTTGGTGCTAGGCACCTGCCAAGCCCAGGTAGCATGGCATGAAAATCATCAAGGAAGTCCTTCCTGTCCCTTGCCTTTCTTCCCCGCTTCTGGGAGCTCTTACCATAAGGGTGATATGGTTAGGGAAGAGAAGCCCTGGGGAAGTCGCAGCCAGTAGTCCCCACCTCTACTGTAGACTTCTCAGACTTAAGCAATATTAAGCGGGAGACATACTTTGGATGGGAGTTGGAAGATTACACAGGTAGTAGTTTTTATTAGCGAAATCCAGCTATTCTTACAACAAAAGTAACCAGAGTATAGTTCATACGACTAAGAGTAGATAGGAAAGCTAAGGGATGTGCCTGGGACAGCACCCCCAAAAGTGGCCCACAGAGCAGGCCAGCTGAGAAGGGCAGAATGCTTTACACCCCAGAATGCTTCGTTCCTCTCTTTCAAGTTACTAACACCTATAACCTGAAATACCACCTGCAAATCTTATGAAACTAGCACGTGAAAGGAAGAGGGGTGGGAAAAGCAGGTTACTGTTGACCTGTTAATTGGAAAGCAAGTCTGAAAATACTCATTGCTCAACTTACATATGAACATGGACTGACTCACTGGAGCCAAACATATGGCTCAGCTACAATGTGTCAGAATTACTCATTCAGTCCCGGTATAAGGGGCAAAGAAAGAAAAACCAGAAAAGCTGGGGGCTGAAGAAATGGCTTAACAGTTAAGTGCACTTACTGCTCTTGCAGGGGACCCAAGTTTGGGTCTCAGTACCCACCTCAGGTAGCTCACAACCACCTGGATATCCAATGTTGTCTGGCCTCTGTGGGTGCCCTCACACACATAGTGCACATACAGACACAAACACACACACACATAAATTAAAAATAAACAAATGAATCTGAATAAATTGAACTACATCTATTTAAGTTCTTTCCACTTGGATTGTCTGGAATTCCCTTTGTTTCCCATCCCCTACACACACACACACACACACACACACACACACACACACACACACACACACACTCACACAGGCTTTCTTTGTAATTATAGCATACCAGGCAAGCACCAACACATTCCTTCATTTCACGACTCATGGATCCAACCAAAAGTAAGAATAAAAAGTTGCAGATCTTGGCCAATCTAGAAGTTCCTATGTTTTGCATCTGGGTGAAATAATTAATTTGACGTGTTGGGTAAGCAGGAGGAAGCCATGAGCCATAGGTCTTCAGGGGAATTGTTAAGATTCTACGGCTTGTTGGGAAAGAAAAGAGATCTTAGTTTTTTCACTGTTCTTACATGCACACATTTTACAGTGTATTAAACACTTCATAACAAAAATGAAGAAGGAAGAAACAGAACAAACAAATTGTACTTTTGAGACGCTCCCTCTAATTTCCCCTTAAGCACACAGTGCTGTTTGGGTTGCTAGTCTACTGAAGCCATTGCCCCATATTCAAGGTCCTTTTCTGAAGCCACCTCCCCATAGCCCTCCCTGTCATTTCCCTGTCCCATGGCTCCCATCTCTACTCCAACCCTCCCATGGGGCATGTCACCTCCACAGAGGAGCAACAAGACTTGATATTCTCTATATTCAAGACACCTACAACAATGTCTTACATACTCAATATTTATTCAGTGCAGTTTAGGATAATGTATCTAATTTATGAGTTAATATAGGCTAATCATTCACATTACAACTAAATCTGGTTTGCAGCCTCCAACGGATGACTTCTTTCCAGGTGCTTCGAACCTCGACGACCTATTGGAAGTGATGCCCATCCTCATCTGAGCTGGTTTTCTTTCCTGGCCTGTGAACGATTGCCACAACTGTAGACACGAGCTCATTTGAAGGAATGAAATGTGCTTGGCCAACGATCATTTAACAGACCTCGCATAATTATCAATTTCCTCTCGAAGCTAACATTTGCTAAAAGGAAAAAGGGGAGATTCTATTAATAATCAAAACACTTGACTTTCTGGATCCATTCCATGTAATGAGGAGAACTCCGTTCTCCGGTCTTGGGCTACAGCCAGGTGGTCTCTTACCAGGAATCATTTTCAACTTCTAATCACAGTTCAACAACCATGCACCAAATCATATACAAGTATTGATATTTGCAGTTAAATTATACCAAATGTCAATGCAATCAACTCATTAGCAGGCTTGTAGCAAGGCCCTGTGCTCACTACCTGCATCTGCCCCTCTTTGATTAAGCAGTCTATGGGCCATATTCCCTGCCTGTCTCCCAGCTGATCAGGTCTGTAATACCACTAATATAAAATCAAATGAGCATAAGAAGGGAGCAGTTAAAGGAGAAGGGGAAAAAATGAAGTATCTCGCTTCCATCTTATGCAGAATATTAACATGCTAGAATTGAGCAAGAAAAGCAAATGAGATTACCAAATAGTCATTTTAACTAAAGATCACCAGAGGTCATTAAGAAAGCCTGCGATGGCCCAGAATGATCCAATCTGCTATCATCCCTCCAAGTTCCTGGCTACCTGGAATCTTAAATCATTCCTGCTGGCTGTGAAAAGCATAAGCAACCCTGGAGTGTGATTGGCACACGTGGGATCTGCAGGCACAAGGTCAGCAGGGCTTACGGTATGCTGGCCCACTGCTCCAAATTTTATATCTCTCTGTCCCTCCGTTATTGCCTGACATGATTTAACAACTGTAATTCCTTATTTAATGATGTCAAAGGTTTTTAGGAAATTGACCGTATTTCACCAACGATATATTTCTTCTTGATTACGGAGTGGTTAAAATGATTTTAAACCAAGACAGCAAAATAAAGCAGTAATAAAATCAATAAAAGGTGCTTAAAACATTCCTTCTATTAGGTAATGGCATTTAAAATATCCGTAGCTTGTAATGGCACTTAGGATATGCCCAAAAATCAATGAGCTAAATTACTTATTGAACTAGTTAATTTGAACATCGAGTTTTTTATGTATATTGATAAAATGGGCTACAGGATACTGGCCAGCAGTGACACCACGTCCATGGTCAGATGGCTCCCTCTGCTGGAAACACGGGTTAAACAATTGTTTTCCAGTTGCAAAACAAAGATTTTTTTTAAAATTTTAACTTAAATATATAACTTCAAAACATTGCCAAGAAAGCCTACTAAAATTCATCAGAACAGTACAAAACCATACATCCATACACTCTTTTAAATGGTTACTAAGCCGGGCATGGTGACACACACCTGTAATCCCAGCACTCTAGATATTGAAGCATAAGAGTTCAAAGCCAGCCTGAGCCATACACATAGTGAGACCCTGACTCTAAAGAGTGTGTGGGGCGGGGAGGAGTCATTCTTGCAGAATATAATATTGTATGTTCAATATCAAATAGCAGATAAAAACCAAATTTTAATTATTTCAATTTTTTTCTTCCTAATTTCCTAAACATTATCGTAGGGCTTCAGTATTTTAAAAATGAGATTCTAAAAGCCTTCATTCCTCTCTCTTTGATGTCAGAGGGAATGAGTTTAAATTTTAAAGGTAAAAGCATAAATCTATGCTCAAGGAAAAGTCTATTCTCGGTAGTTTAATTTGATCAAAATCAAGCTTGAACTGTCTTTGAAAGGGAGTTTTGAGCAGCTGAGGTATCAGTCCACTAAAGAGCTTCTCATTCCTGGGCCTGGAGTTAGTAGAGGATTCCCCAATGCTATTATTGCCCCTTTTCCCTCAAATACCTTCTATTTAAAATGCTAAGTACTGCCGAAGCCTCTCTCTGGTGTGGAGTTCTGAAGAGCTCACCCCCTTCAGCTCTAGCTACAAAGGAGAGCTTCAGAAATTATGATAAAAGGGAGCTACAAAAATGAAGGGGTTATTTGACAATAACCCATAATGGTGCACAGTACTTTCAGAAAACTGACCCAAAGCAAACCATTTTGATTTTGAAAGATTTCATTAGTTTGTCTAGCCTTTCAATCACATTTTTGAGTAGGTCATTTGGACTCAAAACAATGGGTTTATTAAAAAAAATTGTATGTACTAATGAGAAAGTTTGAGTTGGGGTTTTGAGCTTTGTTTAGTTTTAGGGAACAGGCTCTCACTCTGTCATTCATGTTTGAACTACCCTCCAACAGCTGGGCTTACAGGGCTGCACCACTGCACCAGTCTTGGAGAAAATGTAATCAAAGAACTTTGTGTGTGTTCAAATTTTATGCTATAAACATTAGAAAGGCTCTGATAAGTTTATTTTTGATCTCTGTGTGTCTGTCTGTCTGATGTATGTGTGGGTGCATGGGCACACATGGGGAAGTCAGGGAACCACTCTGTAGAGTTGATTCTCTCCATCTGCCTTTACTTGGGTTTCAAGAATTGAATCAGGTCGTTAGGTTTTGTGGCAAGCCTCTTTCTCTGATGAACCATCTCACCTGCCTTGTTTGATAGATATTTGACGTTGAGGGGCAAACACACCTTAACTGAATCATATTACATGCATGTAATACCAGCAGTCAGGAGGCTGAAGTGGAAGAATAGGGCGTTCTAGGCCAGCTTGGGTATATAAAAAGACTTGGTGAGAGAGAAGACAAAAAGGAAGGAGGAAGGGAGGTAATGAAGGGGGCTGGGCTTAGTAGTGCACACCTGTAACCCGGGCATCTTGAAGGTGAGGTAAGAGGATCAGGATTTCAAAGTTATCTAGCAGAATAGATATGAATAGAATAGAATGAACTTGAGGCCATCCTGGGCTACAGGAAACTTTGTCTCAAGTAGAGAGAGACAGAGGAAGATGGATGGGAGACAGAAGAAGAGGAAGGAGGGTAGAAGGAAAATCCTTCCTGGCATGGCATCACTTCAGTCACATCTGGGTTACTAGTTGAGCCTACAGACATCCTTCATGCTGCACTTTGGCCAATGTGGAACAGCCTCAATTTAAACACAAGGTTCACCAAGCAGCTTGCCTGGGACTCCAAGGCTTACCTCCTTACCTACACCAACCATCTCAATTCTTTTCCTTCTTAAACCCCTGTTGGGGATTCACTCTTGGTGCTATCCAAATTACTATCTTCTAAACCACAATCCCCCAAACCTCAAGCAAAGCTGTTTCTACTTAACAACTCTGATACTGGTTATCAAGACCTTAGCACCTTTCTGAGCTTAAAGCTCAGCACACAATCCTCAACACCTGCCCAGCCTGGAACAGAGACCTAATCTGTCAAAGATGCAGGCCATAGTTCCAGGAAACTTCCTAACTGTACTAACCTTGCTGTTTGGCTTCTGAGGTTCTGATTTTCACTAACTGAAGTGTGTCGATCAGGATGTGGCTTTTGTGCATAACAGACAAAGAGCTATAAGGCTGGGGGTTGCATGATCTGGGCAAGATCCCCTGAAGATGCCAGATAGTAGACTTTCTTCGGGGCTTTAAGAATGTGTGTGTGGGGGGGTGTGATCTGTGGGCTTACCTCACAACAAGCTGACAGTGTTCTGTGTAGCTTGATGTAAGCTGTACAAGGCACTAAGATGAGACACAAACTGTGGGAACAAGGAATGGAGGAGATGCAGGGATGACCAATCACCACTACAAAGGCTATCAGTGTCTGCTTGTCTTCTGATGGCCATATCAAAAAGAAGAAATTGCTAAAATTCAATGGACAATGTATGTATTGTTTTGTTTTGTTTCCCTGCTCTACTGTGTACCTGGCAAATACATTATACAGATTTGTTGTGGTGTTTTGGTACACACACACACACACACACACACACACACACACACACACAGTAAAAATGGACCACCACCAATTAATTCATACATCTATTACTTATTGTGTCTGATGAGAGCATTCCAGATCCAACTCCCCACCCCTTTGAGATAGGGGTCTTGAGCTAGAAATGAAAAATGCAACAAAGTCCTACAATAAAATACATGGTGTGAAGAGCAGGACAGACAGGTCTTAAAGACAAGACTAGTGCCGATCTTTTCTTTTCTCTTTATTTGTTTTGTTGATTTGGTTTTGGTAGTGTTTTGATTTGTTGTTGTTGTTGTTTTGGTTGGGGGTTGTTTGGTTGGTTTTTGTTTTGTTTTTGAGACAAGGTTTCTCTATGTAGCCCTGTCCATCCTGCAACAGTAGACCAGGCTGGTCTTGAACTCAGAGCTCTGCCTGCCTCTGCCTCCCAAGTACTGGAGTTAAAGGCCTGTGCCACTATGCTCAGCACTAGTGCTTCCCTTAGCCTCAGAGAAGCTTCTTTTTGCAAAGGGTGATGGTTAATGGAGAGGCTCAAGACTGATCAAATTACTGAGAATGAGTTCGTGCTTAGCCCTATAAATACAGAGCATCAATATTACCTCCTCAAAGGCCTAGGGAATATCACAGAAAAGGGGTAGAAAGATTGGAAAGGCTGGAGGATAAAGAAGAGTCCTATGAAGCACTGTCTTCTAAAAATGGAAAGGCTAATGCAAGGGTAGTGAGTTCTAGGCCAGCCTGGAGTACCGTGTGAGGTCCTACCACAAAAACTAAACAAAATAGACTAGCAGCAAGAGAACTCAGCAGGTAAAGGTGCCTACTGCCAAACCTAGGGTCCCAGTTCTGTCCCCGAAATCACAAGGTGAAGGTGAGAACCAACTCCCAAAAGCTGTTTTGACCTCTTGGAGTGTGCTGTGGCATTTGTGTACAGACACACATGCACATGTTCGAAACAAACAAAATTCAATGCAAAAAAATTTAAACAAAAGCAATATCAGAATGACAACAAAAAATGGGCTCAAGGCACTTTAAAACACAGATGAGATCAACTTATGGACCCAGAGGTGAACTCTGGCAGAGTGCTTGTCTAGCATGGACAAAAATAACAACCATTTCTCTCTTGCTTGTTTCACGTTAATTTAATGAGTTGTTTCTATTAAAATTGGCACCATACTTAATAGAAGGAAGAGATAAATTCAAAATAAAGGTCTAGTGAGGCCCAGCTAAAGCACCTCCCAAGGCCGTGTGTGACCTCCTGGGTTTTCTTTTCATAATCTCTGCTGTAGGTGCTCCACTCCCAATCTCAGTACCTCGTTTGAATCGCAGCAGCTTCCAACACTGATCCTGAAAGAAAATGAGCTCTTCAGCTGGGTGATTTCCTACGGTCTGTGCACCGAGGGCTCTCTGGGCTTCATCCAAGAGAGGTGAGCCGTGCTCCATGGTGGGCACCTTGCAGGCCTAGCAGCACAATGCAAAATGATTTTCTAACTCATGCAAGGGTTCCTGTGGAGAGTTCTATTTCCTGGATATGAACAGAAATTGCTGTAATTTTGTTCAGTTCTTTTTTTAATTTGCAGTTAAATGAAATATGACAACAACAAGATGAATAACAGCCACATAGGATCCAAGGCCAGCACACAGGGCCATCACCTGTACAAAGCAAAAAAGCAGGAGACCTCTTTAAAAAAATCGAATTTTCCCTGCAACAACAGGCACTGGAAAGATCAAAATGGCCACAGGTGCAATTTTAGAGAAAAGGATTCTAAAAAATACTATTTTCATAATAAAATTACACCAGGCAAAAGATAAAGAAATATTTGGTAAAGGCGAAAGAAAGAGTCACCACTTATTCTTCTGGGTTACCTAAAATATAAACACCAGGTAATAAAAACACAAAATGTTTGTTCCTGTCATAAGGCAGAAGGCTGTTGACACATCTCTACTCTAACAATAGTTGTGTCTGCCGACATCTACCAAGTTCTTGGCATCTGTTCCTACTATCTGCATTCATTCCCCCTTTCGTAACACAGTTGTTAGAATGCTTACCCAGCATGACCAAGGACCTAGGTTCAATCCCCCAGCACCATACAAACCAGGGATGGAATGTTAGCACCTGGAAAAAAAAATAACAGGGATGGTTGTGCATGCCTGCAATCTCAGTACTTGGGAAGCAGAAGCAGGAGTATTGGGTCCTTAGCTATACAGTAAGTTTGACACCTACATAAAATCATCTCTCAAAAGTAAATGCCTGGGTAGTGGTGGCACATGTCTTTAATCTCAGCACTCGGGAGGCAGAGGAAGGCAGATCTCTGTGAGTTCGAGGCCAGCCTGGTCTACAGAGTGAGTTCCAGGACAGCCCTGGCTACACAGAGAAACCCTGTCTCAAAAATAGATAGATAGATAGATAGATAGATAGATAGATAGATAGATAGATAGATAGAAGCCAGAGAGATGGTTGAGTAGTTTTGAGCACCTGGTGCTCAATCATAAGGACCAGAGTTCAAATCCCAGAACCCACACATAAACCCAGGCCTGATAGTGAGGCTGTGGGCCACTAGATTGGGAGACTGTGAAATGCTTTTAGTCCTAGTGATGGGTAGTTAGTTTCCATCTCTTCATGGCTTCTTGGCTCCAGCAGTAAATTTCCATTTCTCTGAAACATAGGCCATCTCCCTTCACACACCACGAAGAGCAGAGGAGGTCAGGGCACCCACTCTTACCATAGCTAATCAAGACTAACAGAGACGGAGACCCAATCCTTGCTACAGACAGGGCACACAGCTTTAGTTACAGAGAAAGGGAGGATTTGGAGTCGCTGAATGGGATGCCCTAACCCCAAATAAATCCACACACTTCCTAATTGCCCCCCAGCTTTCTCCACCCAAGAAGTCTAACATTTGTCAATAAACTTCCATTTTGCACAGAGCCATTGCATCCACAAATAATCCACAGGTTAGCCAGTACTAGTGGTGTGCTCCTATAACTCTAGTGCTGAGGAGGCAGAGACAGGAGGCTCTCTGAAGCTCATTTGTCAACTTACCTAATCAGTGAGCTCCAGGCTCAGTGGAGAGACTGGAGAAACGGCTCAGCAGTTAAGAGTTATCAGCAACCACTAGGGACAGCTCACAACTGCCTAGAACAAGAGTTCCAAGGGATCTGGAGCTTTCTCCTGATTTCTGCAGGCGGTGCACTCAAGTGCACAGATGCACACACACACACACACACACAGAGAGAGAGAGAGAGAGAGAGAGAGAGAGAGAGAGAGAGAGAGAGAGAGAAGTTTTAAAATATTTAATAAAATTATTTTTAAAACAGAGGCTTGTACTTGTCTTTTTTACTATTAGAAAAATCTGGCAAAAGAAACTTAAGGTTTATTTTAGTTCACAGTTCAAAGGTGGGATCCATCAAGGAAGGGAAAGTATGGTAGACAGGGTATGAGGTGGCTGGACCCTGGACCCATTCCATCTAAATACAGTTAGCAGAAAGAGATGATCTGGTGCAGTATAACAGTCCATGGAATAGTACCAACAACATTTAAGAGGGGTCAGTCCACCATGGTTAACCCAAATCTAGAAATACCCTCCCAGACATGCCAGGAGATTTGTCTTCAAGGTGATTTTAAATCCTGTCAAGTTGACTTGACAACATTTGCCATCACATTGGGTATTGATTACACAAACCAAAACAGTAAGTTGATTGAGCAAAGACAGTACAGACAAGTTTATGGAAGCACATTATCTCCAGAGAGAGATTAGAATAAATAGATTTCTCATTATCAGAGCAGGAATTTAAAACCTGGATAGAGATAAAGAATCTCACAGGAGTTCAAGTAAGACACACCAGTATGGAACCTCTTAGAAAAGAAAGTAGGAGGTACCTTTGAATGAATTGGTACAGGAGATCACTTTCTAAACATAACACCAGTAGCAGAGACACTGAGATCCACAACTAATAAATGGGACCTCCTGAAACTGAGAAGCTTCTGTAAGGCAAAGGACACAGTCAGCAAGACAAAACGGCAGCCCACAGATTGGGAAAAGATTAAAAAAAAAAAAAAAAAAAAAAACGGACCCTTGGCAGGGTGGTGCGGTGCATGCCTTTGATCCAAGCACTCAGGAGGCAGAAGCAGATGAAGCTCTGTGAGTTCAAGAACAACCTTGTCTACATAATGAGTTGTAGGGCAGCCTGGGTAAGGCAGTGAAACCCTGTCTCCAATAAAATAAGGTGGGGAGCAGCAGAAAAAGATGCCTGACATTGACCTCTGGACCCCACACAAATACACATGCATGCTTATTCACCTATGCGCACACACACTTGCACACACACAAACACACACACACAGAGAAAGAGAGTGAGAGAGAGAAAGAGTGAGTGTAAAAGAGTGTAAAAGTAGCCATCATCACGCAAAGAGCCATCTGGTATATTTCCTTCCAGGCTTTTTTCTGAAGCATGATCTACTAATATTTCACATTAATGTTTGAGTATTTGCACAGTATTATTTTAAAGCAAGAACTTTGTGTTTGGGGCATTATTATGAGTTCCAGAATCGCTGGAAAACACCATAAGTAACACAACAGGAGCCCTGAGAGTCGATTGCAGGACATGAGACAAACTGAAGGCTGGATGTGTGAGCACTTAGGCTCCCTCAAACATCAGACAGGATTTAAAACACTGAGAACCAGCCTAAAGGTCAGCACAGCTTGCACAAAAGCTCTTAACCATGCTAATATCACTTTACCCACATTCCCGGAAAGAGTAAGAAATAAAACATAAATTTATTAAAGGTTTCTGAAAGCATGGCTTTGAATTGCATGCAGTCAACAAGCACTTTGACGGAGAGACACTATGCGCCCAACACTAGCCTGCCTTGAGATACTGGCTTAGTCTGTTTTCTGTTTCTATCCAGGTTCTTTACAAAGAAAAGAGGTGGACTAGGGAGATGTCTTCATAGGTAAAGTGCCTGCTGTGGAAGCAGGAGAACGGGAATTTAGATGCCCATATAAAAAGCCAGCTGATTAATCCCAGTGCTGGGGTGGGGGGAAGGGGGCAGAAACAGGAGTATCCCAGGAGCAGCTGGTCCAACCAATTAGTAAGCTCCAGGTTCAGTGAGAAATGTTATCTCAAAAAACAAACCAGAAGGTGGGAGTGGTGGTTCGGCAGTTTTGAGTGCTTGCTGTTCTTGGATGTTCCCAGCTTCACCATGCTGGGAATGGGTATAGAAGTGACCACCACAGGAGACAGGAAGCCAGAGAGCCCCAGGGTCTGACTCACTATTTTCCTAACAACTCACTTTTGTGAGTAACTGTGACCTCACGAGAACTACTCTGATACCTCTGAGGACCTATCACCTCCCAACAAGCCCTGTGCTGTGGCTGGAATGTGAACTGTCCCCACATGGGCTCAAGCGCACGAGCATTTGGGAAAGTCATGGACCCTGAAGGAGGCAGAGCCTTGTGGATGGGAGTGGGTCACTGAAGGCAAGCCTTGAGGTTTGATAGCCCAGCCACACTTCCTGCTTGCTCTCTCTCTGTCCCTACTGAATGAAATGTGACCGGCAGGCTTTTTCCTCCCGCTGCTGTGCCTTCCTCACCATGATGGACAGTATCCTCTGCAACCATAACCCTGAATGAACCCTTCCTCCCTGCAACTGCTTCTTGTCAGGTATTTGGTCACAGCAATGAGGAAAGTGACTAATGCATCCTACATCAAGAAGGTCCCACAGTTCTCAACACTGCCTCACTGAAGACAAAGCTGTTAGCACGCCACCTTTAGGGAATTCATTTAGAGTGCAGCCAAACCATCTCACATGAAAATATGAGCAGCACTGATTTCCTCACCCTTCAAGGCCCCTCTTTCTACTGTGGAAATAGGAACTGAGTAAGAGGGAGCTTGACGTAGGGGACAGGTGGCAAGATGGCTCAGTAGGTAAAGGTGCTTGCCACCAAGCCAGATGTCCCGAGTGTGAGTCCTGAAACCCACATGGTGTAAGGGAAGGAAATCAACTCTGAAATTATCCTCTGACCTCATGGTGGCACATGCACTAAATATGCATGTGGGCAACACACACCCACAATGGGAGGGAGGGAGGGAGGTATTTAATGCTTTATACTAAATACTTGGGTATAATTGCCCAGGGGCTAAGGTCTTTGAAAAGGTTCCTGAGCTGGGGCTTGTGGGATTCTCTAGGGGTTCTCTAGACAGTAAGAAAGCAGAGCAAAAGCACATGTAAATACATCAATACACAAGTGAGAACCCACAGTGATGGAGTTCCGAGCATGGCTGGCATTTAGGTTGTTGCACAACACTAACTCAAAAGTCAACCATCTTCCAAAAACCAGCCTGTCTGCTTGGGCTTATTAACTGTTAATGTTCCCTTATAGAAGGAGGGGTGGGGAAGAGTCATTGGATCCTCATCTGAGTATTCAACTGCTCTTCTAGGCAGCTGTAGGCAATTCTTCCCCAATTGCGCATGGCCTCAGGGGTCTCAGGAAGGGGAGAGGGTATATTGGTTGGGAGGGCCTCCATCCCAGAAACTATAGAGAAGGGGACTTCATCCATGCAACTATAGGGACACCACCAACCATGCTGCTTTGACGTCACCCGGCCCCTCACCCAGGCTCTTAAGTAAATGCAGTAAACTGATTCCCTGGAGGGAACTCTGGTGAAATTGAATGCTTTGGTTTGTCATTAGGACCTTGGAGGAAGGTAGACAGTGCCTGTGGTAATTTGAAAGCAAATGACCCCCATAGCCCCATAGGGAGTAGCACTATTAGGAGGTGTTGTCTTGTTGGAGTAGGAAAATGAGCATTTTTAAAATAGCTAACAGAGACTTTGGGGCAGTTTTTTGTGGAATTCTCAATACCATTTTGTACACACATGTAACTGGTGCTTCATTGGCCAGTGCCACCTGCTTGTGTCATAGTTAACGCTGTCAATGTGACAGAATCTAGAATCAACTAGGAGACAAATCTCTGGACATGCATGTGAGAAGGTATCTCGATTAGGTTAGCGAGCTGGAAAGACCCACCCTAACTGTGAGCAGCACGCTTCCATGAGTAAAAAGGAGGAAGTGGGCTAAGTGTCAGCATCCATCTTTCTCCCTCTGCTTCCTGACTATGATGTACTCAGCTGCCTCGTACCCCTGCTGCCATGCCGTATCTTCCATGGAGGACTGTACCCTTGAACTCTGAACCAAAATGAACCTCAGTCTTAGTTTCATTCCTATGGCTATGATAAAAATATCATGACAAAAGCCACTTAAGAGAGAAAGGGTTTCTTCAACTCTAA